GTCCTCTACAAAGCATGCCAACATTCTTCCTGCACATACTTTCATCCTTTTGTTAGAGTTGATCACACTACACCAGGCTCTCAATGCCACATCTTTGATCTGTGCATCACCCCATTTCATGCTCTCCTCCTGGCCTCATGCCCTCTCCATCCTGAGTCTTCCATGGAAAGACAGGTCCTGCTGCTGCCCAGGAAAAGACAGAAGTCGCCACTTTAAGCATTACTGTTTGGGGCAGGGAATTGCACTTGTGTGCCAAATACAGAAATACCTCCTCTCAAAAGAATACTTAAATTAGAGGCTGCAAGGCAATTTTTTTTTTTTTTTTTTTTTTTAGTGAAAAAAAAGTAATCACTGATTTTCCATTTTCTGCATCTTTAAGGAAAAGGAACTCTAATGTACAACTTGGTAGGACTCCAGGCACAAGAGGAAATGGGTTATAGCAGTTGTGACTGTGCAGAGCAGATGTTTTGGTTGGCCTGGCTATCAACCATCTGACTCATAATAAATTGTCAGTTCCAGTAATTTCCCAGTTTTCAATTACAGTAGGTAGGATATGAGAAAACAATGCCGTTTGGATAGTGTATTTAAAGTGGTTTTGATGGTAATTTTCATAAACAACTCCTACTAACTTTGTAAAAAGATTAAGGATCTTGGAAAGGCAGAAGCTGTAAACATTGAAACATACATTTGAATGTAAATTGAGATTAATAGAGATGAAAACTAACAAATGGTTGTTAACACAGTGCTGATACAATTGGAAATAGAATTTTAAGTTTTTCTTTGGAGTTTTGTGATACTCAAAGTCCTTTCATGAGGTATATAGGATAAAAATTTCTAAATGCCTTCAGACTTCCATTTTCATCTCTTCTGTTCTTCATTTATATTTTAACGTGGTCTCTTGATCATCTGTTTTGAAAATGCATACTTAATGTTCCTTTCCTCTGCAATGGCTAAGTAAAAAAAATGGTGAATTAAAATAAAATACCATGAGTTTTCTGTTTATGAAAATTTGTATTTATTTTTGTAAATTGTTGCTAGGTTTCTGTAATAGAAAAAAAAGCCTCTGGGTTGAAAATGTCTAGATTTTTTTGTTGTTGTTCATTTTCAGAAATGAGAAAAATATTTTGTTTAAAAACGACAGTAGCAAAGTGGCAGAAAATGCTATGAAAATCTGTGTTGGATCTTTTACATTGCAATGTTCTAGAGGCTTTTTTTTTTTACTATCAGACATGAGACTGTTGTGGAAAAATTAATAGGTGTGCATTATCACGTGTAATGATCTCAAGCATTTTTACATTCAGTTTTTAAACCTCAAAATTCCTGTGGCCTAGGATGGGTTCTCTGTTCAATTAGAAGGTCATTTTAATAGTGCCTTCTGTAGAGTCCTGTGTAGAAAAAGTTCTGCGAGTATAAAATGGCACTTTTATTATGGCAGTTGTAATCTTGAAATTTAACATTCATAGAAAATTGCCATTCTGCATTCTGACAAAATCAGTTTTTCTTGAATATAAAATTAATTTGTTTAATAAAAGATCTATCATGTTGTAAATTGCACACAGATTATAAGAAGAAAAAGCATGGGTGCTTAAATACTGAAAAATGAGATGTGACTTTAGTTCAGCAGCCTCTTTTTTTCTTTCTTTTTTTTTTTTCTTTTTTTTTTTTTCCTGAAAGGGTATAATACTACCAAAGCAGTTGGATGTCACTCTAGCTTTTGAAGCCAGCTGATAAACAAGAATAGAGGTGACTTTTGCTTTGCTGCTCTATTCAGATCTGGTCTTTTCTTTGATATAAATACATGTGCAGAAATGGGAAAAGGGAAAGATGCTCTCTGTGCAGGGTTTGATAAGAAGCATTTAAACAGCATTTGCCTTTGGACACTGTAGTGTAATAAAAAGATCTCAGTCCCTGTTCTGGGCAAATGGCATGGCCTGGTAGTAGAAGGTTCCATCTTCTCACCTGATCACTTAGAGGTTTCTATAGATGGCAAGGACAGAGACCACTGAAGGGGTTAAGTTGTAACTGGCACAGACAACATCAAAAAAGTTTATTAGCTGAAAAGTTTTCCACAGTTTATCTGTAAAACATGTGGTTTTGGTTTGGTTTTATAAACGGCAGTTCTAACAGATATACCAGTGTCAAATGCAGTTGTAGCAAGCAAGTTCTTCCATAAATAAAAGTCTTCCAAAACAAAGCCTGAAAGGAATAAATGGTACAGTGTCAGATAGAAGGAAGTTTATTGTAAATCTGTGACCACCTGAACAATAAGGTTGAGCAGCTTCATGGTGTTACTGCTTTGTGTCTTTTATAACCTACAGGAATGCTGGTTTTGGGTTTTGAGTCTTTTTTAAGTAACACGTTTTCATTTCTCAGGGCTGAAAATATACCTCCATTTGAAATGTGGTAGTTATAGAAGAATGCCAATTTCTTTACGTGAATTTGCATTGGACAGTAGCTGTATGAACGGTGCTCTGCTGGCAGCAGGAGTTGCAGTCACGTTTGTTGTGTGTATTTTTTTAAATAGAAAAATATCATGTCTCAATTTATTGCTCTTAGTACACATTTCATTTTACTGCAGCTCAGCATGCAAAGATACCGAGGTGATTTATGTGGTTGTATGGGTTTTTTCCCCCTGGTACAAGTGTTCATATGAAGTTCACTAGTGAGCAAAGAAAATATAATGAAATATTATTCTGTGTGTTAATGGATATTGTAGTGGCATTCACCTAGTCTGTTTTGGAGTTGGGTTTTTCTGTTTCCTTATTTTGACTTTGTTTAATCAGTAAGTACCTGCTGGCAGAAACTGGTTTTACATGTGGTGTCAGGCTGTGTATGCATATCTACTTTTAGCACTTATCATTAATGCAAGACTAAAGAGGGGATTTACTGTCCGTGGCAGAGCTGGATGCAGCACTACAGGTGGGGTCTCAGCAGAGCAGAGTAGGAGGGCAGAATCCCCTCCCTCATCTCACTGGCAACACTACCTTAGATCTGGCCCAGGATACATTTGGCTTTCTGGGCTGCAAGTGCACATCACAGGGTTACATTGAGCTTCTCATCAGCCTAACCATTTTAGGTACCTGTCATCTCTTGAAGAATGCCCATTAAAATGAAATCTTTAATTGTTATTAGCATTAAAAGCATTGCTGTTCAATCTCTCTTAATAGTTCTTTTCATTTGATTGACAATTAGCAAATTAATGGGAAAAAGCCAGTTAATGCTATAGTCGGTTTCAGGATTGAAAGCCGTTCCTTATTTAATTTTTTTCCTTAATGATGGAAATACATGAAATACTGGGGAAAAGGTCAGGGTAGATTGTGTGCTTGGGTATATATTGTAGTTACTTGTCTTGTTGATAAAGGTTTTTTAATCTGTAATTTTCTCTAGTCCAGATGATAGTACCACTTAAAAACATAACACTTATGAGAACATTTTGGGTCACGAGGTCCTATCCATTGCTGTTACAGGCAGCCACATCCCATAATGCTATCCATAAACTGATCACAGGAGGACAACAGCTATTGTTTGTGCTTACCACTCATATGGAGTGTTGTCCTGCAACTTAGGGTTAAAACCATGCTCTGATTTCCTGCCATAGTGTGCTCGTGACCATTTTATGAGTTCTAACAGTACAATTTTCTTTCATCTGTCATAAGTGAGCTGCACACCAAGGCAAAATTTAAGAAAACATTGTCAGTTCTGTCTCATTTTTCATCTAGAGACAATTAGGCTTTTTAAAGACCCATTCTTCCCTGCAGCTTATCACTAAGTTTCTTGGCATGTAGTGTTCTGCACGTAATAGCTGGTACACAGCTCGTCTCTCTGGACATTAACAGCTCCCGTCCTGCCAGAGCTTCAAATGGCACGAGATTGCCTTCCTGAAACCACTCAGCAGTCAATTTTTTTCTTCCCATATAGGGCAGGGCCTCCTAAGAATATTTAAATGGTTTGCCTGTTCCTTCCTCACAGCTGCCTGTAAGACAGAGCATACCAGGGCACCCTGCACCATGTTGATCCTACTTTGAGTACATATCTTATTTCCTCTCCTATTTTTCCAAAACACATAAGAACAAAGGCATCTTGGCAAGTTGCTATGTACATGTGAACAAACATGTTGGAAGATTTATTTGTGACCAGAAAGTGGCACCATATTATTTGCTGTCAGTGAAGGTGACTGTGCTGCTAACTCATTACTTTCTAACTAGAGGTCAAGAGCTTAAAGAAATTATGTGTGGCAGCAATACATTTGTTGGTACTGTATGTGATTTATGAATTGGAGGGATGTAAGGTCCTAACCAGAAACAATTTGTTCTAGATGATCCCAAAGCTGTAACTGATTGTCCTGATATAAAGAAAGCCTCAACTGTGAATACATTAACTTGTATTTAGCATGCTTTTTTTTTCCCCTACAGTACTTTCCTGGAGTCTGCAGACTTTGCTGAAATAATGCAAAGGTTTAATTTGCAGGAAACTGGGAGACAGTGACTTCTAGATATAAATTTCTAATTGCAAAATGTTTGTCATCTGCAACAGGAGTTTAATACAATACACTAGAAAGTTTGAATCATAAACTACTTTGAAAAATAACAAATACAGACTTTGTGGTCATAACTCAGTGATATTACAACATTTTAAAAAATCCTTTGGCATTTGCATCTTATGTCAAACCAGGAATTCCTAAAAACAAAATCTGTATCTTTGCTGAAGTTTATAGTTCACTGAATTGAAGAACTACAGCACTGTATACTTCATAACTCAGTAATTTTATTTTGATACATTAAAGGAAATCAAGCAGATTAAAATGTTTATTTAAAGTCCCAATTTAAAGTGCCAATATAAGAAAGAATAAATTTGCAACCTGTTTTACAGTGGTTACAGTTTAGATTCCTCACTTAAGCATCTCCTAAATAAATTCATATTTGACTTACTAGTTCTTACCTGTAAGCTTTTAAATAATTCGGTTTGTTATTTACCATTTTATATTGCTTTTCTGTGTACAGGATGTGAACGAAGACCCTGGAGAAGATGTTGCACTTCTATCCGTTAGTTTTGAGGATGCAGAAGCTACTCAGGTTTTTCCTAAGCTGTACCTCTCCCCTCGTATTGAACAGTGAGTTAGAGGTTTTTTCTGGCATATTTATTCTACTTCATCTTGGCACTTTTCCATTTTTTCCTGATATGTGTGATAACATACTATTATATGATATACTATTATACAATACTATATAATATATAATAGTATATATTATCTAGTAATATAATACTAATATACTATTGCTTTGAATTGCTTAAAGTTATAGTGGTTACTTTGAGTGTGTGTGTGGTGGAGAAATGACAGATCTTCTCTCAGTTAGTTCTGTTCATGTGTGATACTCTTGTAGCATCACAATCTCTGAAAGCCATGTTTGTCCTTGTGGCAGTATATTTTGAACGCCTTCTATGATAAAATATTGTGATAGCTTTTATGGGGGGAATCTTTAATTTTTTTTTCTGTTGAGAAGGTAAGTTCTCTATATAAACATAATACATTTGAATAAACTATTGTTGTAGAAGCTAAAGGGCTTGGTTAACTATGCTTTTGGAATTTGCAGCTTTAGTAAATTACTTTTTTTCAGGAGAATATCTGAATATTTCATTTTAGGAGCATTGAACCTTACTGATCTATTTACCAGTTGGCAAATTTGCTGAGAAAGGGATTTTTACTCCTGAAACAGAAGACTGGGAACTAAATTTCAATCTGTTTTCATTAAATTTCTTTTCTTCCTTTTCTGAAATTGAAAATGTTTTAATATTTCTCATTGTCTTCAGTATCTCAGTCTTGTAATGCTTAAAAAAATAACTCTGTTAGACTTTTCAGGTATACCACATTCAAACTGGTATACCATTGTTTCAGTGATGTGTTGTTTTTTTGCTAATAGGACAGTTGACTTTCCTCTGAACTGGTGATGGTTGTTCTGTGTAGAGGAAAGATGGGAAATACTGACTACTACAGTTTTATAATAACTTGGGGATAAATTTTTTGTGAGTGAAGAAATGTAGTATCTTGACATTTTGATCAGCAGAGTATTGATCTGGATAAATTCTTGGATGCAGTTTAGAAAATAAAAAACAGAATTTGACTTTGATAAAAACATAAGACTTCCGAGATACTTTAAGAAAATGTAGGTTACATGTGCATGTGCAAACACATAGATAATGTATTTAGTAGCTTTCACATTTTCATATTTTTCATCAATTCATTCCTTTTTGTCAGCATCAGCTGAGGGAATAATTGTCATCAAATATGTAATTATCCTTCTATGTTCCAGAGGATTCTTTTTCTGAACTCTTAAAAGCAAATGGGCTACCATTAGTTTCCATTGTATTTCCAGCTGCAGTCACATGTTGATGGTTGAGTATGTTTCAGGCCACCCAGGTATATCTGTCGAAATCATCCACGAGCTAATGAATATGTTACGTATTTTCCCACTTTCAGCAGTATCTTTAGAAAGATGTTAACCTCTTGATACCTAGCAGAATAGCAATACAAAGGAAGTCTTTGTCTTCCTAAAAGTATTGCGTTTTCTCTCAGTGCCCTAAAGAGCATCTGATTTTAGATTTGTGATGTGGAGCGATACAGCAGAAAGATACTTGAATGGTATTGGTGTGTATCTGACATTCTGATGTATTTATGGCTTTTGTCATTTACAGCTGATGCAGTCATGTTTAAATGATGCCAGTAAACCCTGGAGTTCTGTGCCACACCTTGTCACATTATCTGTGTGTTGAGGTTGAGATACTTAACTCATCTCAGTCAATCTGTTTTTCTGCATTTGTAACATTTCATCATTTGTAACATACATCACAATATCCAGGTACTGATAATACATAATTACTGAAGTTGCTTGTGAGCTGCTGCACCTCCCTTTATGCTACTGGCTACTTCTTATGTGCCATGAAAAAATGTATGGGTATGTTTCCAGTGTTTGTAAAATTGTACTTTAATAGCAAACATTCGGTTCTCTCTTGTTCTTTCCCAAAACCAATCTCTGCTGTGTTTAGCAGGGGCTGACAGTCTAGATATTTAACTTCCCAGTGTTTGGGAACTGAAGCAACAATGTGTACTTCTTTATACTTTTTGCCAAAAGTATAAAAAGCCTCAAGAAGCCCTCAGGATTTGTATAATGACTTGAGGCCGTGGCATGTTACATTTGAACTGTGTTCTGCTTATAAAGGTCTTTCCTGCTGCTCACAGTAATTGGATCTACAAAAGCCATGTAAGCAAATTACCAGTGTTTTTGTTCTATGCAGCAGATTTTGAGATGTTCCAAGTAATAGTTGATAGTTCCCAACATAACAGTCACAAGAACTCAACAGAACATGAAAAATACCAAATTCCCACAATTATTTTGCTAACACTAAAATGTATTCACATTAGGAAGAATGAGCAAACAGGAATAGCATTTTCCTGACATATGAAATAACATTTCAGGTTTGTGGAGCAATAAGAGGAAAAGGGTCTGTTTGTGTAAAGTGAGTTATCTCCTGCTTTCCCAGGAGGTTTCATTGCTCTTGTGCTCTGCCATATAAACACACATTCCTGCATTGCCCTTTCTAAAAATGATACATACCCACAGATCTTGTCAGCAAATTTGAGTCCTAGAAATGTGAATATAGTTTTTTTGTTTTGAAGGGTTTCTCTAAAGTCCATTTGCTCTATTTTTTTAAACTGATAGTAGACATAATAATACTAAGACTTTGACTGCACTTTGTCATAGACTGTAAGAGAGATTTCCAAAATCAGGGAAATGTCCACCTTTTAGGTTTGGGGTGAACATGTTAATGCACTGGTTGGCTTGAAAAGGTTCACATATTGAAGCAGCAGGTAGAAATGCAGCAGAGAAAAGTTGTGGATCATCCAAGTCAATAATGATGTTTTATTGACTTGTATGGTGTGATGTCTGGCTGCAAGATTGTCAAGTACAGTTCTAACAATCAACTAATCAAACCCCTATTTATGGATGGGAATTACTCATATTAATTTATAAAATCTCATCAATAACTATTCATAACAATACCTGGTTTCATTCTTTCATTAGAACATGCTAATTTGAAAAGATCATTTCTATACTATTCCTTCCAAACACATTAACAGCAACTTTTAAGGTTTCCTACTTGAAATCAGTCACTTAAAAAGCTTACATTCTATAGTTGTAATAATAATTCTGACTTTTTATTGCATTACATCAATAAATGGATGCCAGTAACAGTTACTTTCAATTATTTCAAAATTAGACCAAAGTAAAATTAAACATGAGATATTTATGAGATGTATTTGTTTTTTAAAAGCTACCATCTTTACTGTAGTATCATAGAAAACAGTTTCTGCACACTTCTGTAGGAAGTGGTAAGCTGAGAAACCACACAGACTGACCACACAACTTGAGAGACTGGTGCTTGTCAGCATCCATGAGTGTTTCCCCAGCTCATCCTTCCCTTCCTCCCACCTCAGGGTGGGGAACTTGGGATGCTCTCCATCCTCTGCTGTGAGCTGCTGTGCTTTGGGAAGAGGGTCGTACAGCTGAGCTAGGTAGGCACAGCCATGCTCTAAGGCATGATAAGGACCTGCTGGGATATTTACCCTTTATGTTTCTGATGCATTTCCATGAGTTGTTCATAGTGGCTCTGAACCTGTTGGTAGAAAGCGTCTTGTTCCAAATTGCCTTTCTAGTGGAAGTATACTAGATACTTGTATGGCATGGAAATTTGTAATAAAACTGCCCATCATATCTTTGTTGCCCATTTATTAAAAGTCATTAGACTCTAAATCCAAAGAATCAGTTCAGGGTTGAACAGCTGATTTCTATATTAATGCTTAAAAGTTTGTGTCAGCATACTACACGTGAATGTGGATCAGAAGGTTTTGGGCCTTTTTCTTAAGAGAAAAAAAATTGATGTATGTAATTTTTTTTTCTTTTGTGAGTCATCCATGCTAAAGAACATAAAAATGGGTTCATCTTGGTTCACATTTTAAGAAAAAACTATATTAGGGTAGAAAGGCTGTTACTCAGTGAATGCTGTGTTCCCTGTGTTCACAGAAATAATCCTGCAATAAACACTGTTGTCCTGGAGGGCTTTTCTCTGATAAATACGCAGACGTGAATATGCTAAGAAAACCAGCTGTCAGTAGAAGTTGTTTTGCTTAAATGGATCAGGCTCCATGCTTTGGGGACTGAAATGGTCGTTTTTTACTGGTCTGGGAGCTGTGCCAGAGGGTTCTTTGTGACTGAGGGTGGTATGCAGAGTTCGGTGACTGCGTTTAACCTTCCCATACAGGCAGGGGAGAGTAACAAGAACCTGATCTGAACTCTTTGGTTCTGAATGTTCCTATATGTTTTTCACTGATGGAAATAAAAATTGAAGATAAAATGAAAGATATGTTTGCTTTGAGGTATTTCCTGTCTGTTACCTGTGCTTTCTGCTGGGAGTTGGAAGAGGAAAACCATAGAATATTACCCATTTACTGCCAAGTACTGCCTCTTGTTCTGTTTGACACACAGGGGAGCTGTGAAGGGCTTCACCTCTGAAGTTAGCATGCCATGCTGCCTCCAGTAGAAGCTTGCTGTTTCAGACAGCTTATGGATACACAGTCACTAAATGAATGGTTGTGCTTAGGCCTTTTTATATGTCTGCTTTGTAGAAGTCAGAAGATCTTCAATTTGGCATACTAAAATGTGATTATTCTTGTGAATTGATGATTTCAGTAGAATTGTTTGTAGTCATCCACGGCAGTCCATGGCTTCTTCAAATCCCATAACATCTTTTCAGACATGGGAAGCAGGAGGAATAGTAGTTGCTGTGCAGAACTTCCTGTTCCATTGGGCTTTGTTTGGTCAGTGCCTGGCCAGTGCGGTAGACATATTTACTGCCTGCTGTGTGTGCCATGCCCCCATCAGCCAAGGCTTCAGAAACTATAGCCAATACCATAACCTGATTGCCAACCTAGCACTGCTTTGTACTCTGCTTGTGTCCAAAAAAAATAATCTGTTTTGCTGCTGCCAACATTTGGTGACATATTGACAGCTTCAGAAGAGATCAGGACAGACTGGGACTGGCAGTCAAAGCAGATTG